GCCACGCCCCCCCTGCACCTCCCCCTCTGCCGCCCCGTGCAGAGACTTCCTCTCGAGCTGGCCGAGCCAGGAGTGGGGGAGGTACGGAAAAGAGGAGGGGGCTGTGTTGTTTGTTTTTAAACGAAGTTTGCGCATGCGCCATTGGGTGCTTGTGCGCATCCCGTGGAGACTTGGGGGGAAAACCCTTTTAGCGACGGGACATGGGCGGGCGCCGGATGCCACGACCTACCACCGGAAACGCGATCAGGCACCCGCCCTTGCCCCGCGGTTTCTGGAAACTAGTACCTCGGTGGTACTAGTTTTTTACCCCGCATCTTCAGCGGGAAGCCTCGGGTTCGCCACGGGAGCTCTACGCTTCCCAGATGTGGTGCTGTGATCGTGCCCTATCTTCTGTCTCTGTAGCGTGGCTAATGCTCCGTGTGACCACAGCCAAACTTGTTTAAAGCCTTGCTGGTCCAAAATCCGAAAAATGAGACTCATGATTCACACTAGAACCAACCTGACACCAAAGAACTGGTGTGCTTGCTCATCGGCAGTGAGTCCAGGGATGTTGGCAACCTCGTTTTCTTCCTCCTCCCACCTCTTTTTCATTTTGTAACATCCATCCTGATGAATGTCTGGAGAACTCAAAAACGTCTACACCATTTGTGCTATTTTCTTTGGCCCTAATAAAAGTGGATTGTGGTTTGGTTTGGGATGTAAACTGAAATGGCCTGTTTGGGATTGGACATTTTCTAGATGTAGAGAGATCCGCTGTGACACTGTGACTCGTCCCCCCCCCCCTTTTGAAAGCCTGAGTGGTTGAGTAAGGCTTTTTCTCATCTGTCTGCATTGCGGGTGGGTGGATATGGAATAAACTGCTTTCAACATGGCACAGAACAAATTAGATCGTGTCTCAGTTGCCGTTACTGCTACAAGTTATCGTGGCTATCCTTCAGGAATCTGTATCAAGATGGTTATTCTGAACTGGAACAAATGAGCAAATACTGGTTGACCAGGCAACAGAAAGCTTGAAATGTACTCTGCAAATCTTGGCAGGATTTCTTAAAAGCAAAAAAAACACATTATTCTTCCACTTTTTTTTAATGGCTTCCTGTAATAAATGTTTTTATGGATACATGATCTATAGGGTATGTGGTATTGAACTGGAGAAGCATGTAGTTTTAAGGGCCAAACTAAGCTATTTTTATAGGACACTCCCAAATAATAGTTTTACTCATCCTTGGGGTATTAACAATTTTTTAAACTGGCCTGAAAAAGACTATGTTGCTTGTGAGAGACTTAACTGATGTGGAAAGGGAAATCCTTACAGAGAAATGGCTATAATGTTGGCAACAATTATAAAACTTTCTCCTGTGTCACTGCCAGCATAAGCCACTGGGCAGAGCGTCTTCTATCGGTTTGCTTTTTGTTGGATAGGTTAATTTTGATGGAACGTGCTTTTTGAAGTTGCAGCTCTGCACATTCTTATCTGGGAGTAAGTTGTACTGAACTTGGAATTTACTTCTGAATGGACGTGTGTGAGGGGCCAAATGACACGTGACAGTGTTTGAAACAACAAACATGTTATTATGAGAGCCAGTGTGATATAGTACAGAGTTTGAGTCCAGTGGCACCTTTAAGACCAACAAAATTTAATGCTGGGTATAAGCTTCTTCAAATATTTTGAAACAGACTTTCTCAAGCCTTACATACAGGTAGGGAGGGGTAGTTGCCAGGAAGAACTAGTTAGAGTCAAGATGCATAAGTAACTTGGCAATAAGTATAGGTAAGACCTGTGAATAGCAGCAAATTAGCATACAAATAAAAGAGTAATCAAACAGGTGTGATTACTAAGTCTGAGTCCAGTGGCATCTTTAAGACCAATAAAGTTTAATTCTGGGTATAAGAGAGAACCGAGTAACTTAGCACTTGTAGGCACACACTTCTTCAAATACATTAAAACTTAGCACGTGTAGGCACACACTTCTTCAAATACATTAAAATAGACTTCCGCAAGCATTACATATAGGTAGAGAGAGGGTGAGATGTCGGGATTATTTGCCAGGAATGTCTAATTAGAGCTAAGGTGCATAAGTAACTGAGCAATAAGTGTAGTGTAGTGTAGTGTAGTGTAGTGTAGTGTAGTGTAGTGTAGTATAGTATAGTATAGTATAGTATAGTATAGTAATAAGTGTATAGGTTATACTACTATCTAAGAGACCCAGGTTCAAATCCCCACTCACGACATGGAAGCTCACTGGGTGACCTTGGGCCAGTCTCACTCTCTCATCCTAACCTACCTCATAGGGTTGCTGTGATGATAAAATGGAGGAGAGGAGAATGATGTAAGCTATCTGGGTCCAAGGCGGGGTATAAATGAAATAAATAAATCTGAACCCAAAAACAGTTACACAGGGAGCCAATATGGATTCTGGCCTTGGAGAAGAAGATTTAACTCTTCTCCTGACTCCCAAGCCATTTCTGTGATTTAAAATGGCCACCCCAGGATTGGCAGAATATGGGTGTGTGTCTTTTTTCCCAACCAGAGCTCACAGTAGCAAGGGGGTGGTGGCATTTTTGATTAGCTAGCTGAGAACTTTCCACCAGTGGCTGAACATTCTCACCAGCTCAGCATTAACCCTTGGCTGCTTAAATGTGAAAGAAGCTACCGTGCCTGGTGCTGTGTACCTTTCCCCATCCTTAGAAATCTGCCCTCTAGAGGTGTAAGGCCAGGCCATATAGGCAAGCTTTTGACAAATTTTGTATAATAGAATTTTCCTGGTTTGAAATATGTGTCTAGATTAGATAGCTATGCAGCAGTTAAGGAAACATTTTTGTGTTATTGCATTTTTAGGTTGTATGTGTTTTTAAATTGGTAACCTGCTTTGAGTTGAACTTTACAGAAAAACAGTGGGATAAAAACCTTTAAATAAAACAATTCAAAAATGGCATGAAAAGTTAAGCCCAACCCCCCCCCCCCCGACTGGTTTCTGGCGGCCGGGCGCATGATGATGACGTCAGACGCTAGCACAGCGGAGCCAGAAGGACGTTGCTGTGCCCAGAAGAAGACGCGAATCGTGTGCCTTAAAGAAAGAACTACTACCGCCGAATCATGGAGCCCACCGGGAACGAACAGAGTGCCGAGCCAAAAAACGAAGTACCGAGTGCCGGGCCAAGAAAGGAACATCTCAACCATCACAAGGGTGCTGATAGGTAACCCTATCCCTACAAAACTTGTGGCCCTAGTTAGG